AAATGGGACAAGAAACACCCAGATTGAAAAGTGCTGACATTCAAAATTTTGTAAGAGATACATTTTAAAATACCATCAATACTACTCGATTAAGTTTACCTCTAATTTTTAGATGTCACTCTTCAATCTTGGTATAATAATTTTCTAAAATACAGATTTCAGACTTCTACTCATTAAACACTTAACTTACCAGAATTTTGTTTATATGAAAAACAATTGTTCTTCTTTTAGTTCAAGGTTTCTAAATACATTTAGTTCCTCAAAAAACAACAAAAAAGATCAACACTCTAATGAAAATTAGTTTTGTATTTAGTATATCAAACTATGGCTGCTATAATGGAATCTCTTAGTGTAGTTTGAGGGAACATCCGTTATTCTTGTTGGATCTATAGAATAATATGTAAGTAGAAATGCATCAATTTAAACATCCTAATAATATATCATTTTAGTAATCCATATAAGATACTCTATTTTAGAATTTTTCAAATGATTTTTGGCAAATGGATAAAAAACCAGCAAAATAAATTTCATTTGTACAGCCAAGAGTACATTAAAGGATTGAATCTGTTTTGAGCTTTGAATACAGTTTTCTCTTTTTATTTTACTAAGTAATTATTCCTTGCAATAATATAATTTGACACAGTAAGATTGTTATTTTGTGGAAAAAATGCAATAGGTTATTACTGAAGTTGTTTAATTTCTAACATGTTTTTTAAAATCATAAAATTGCTACATCTCAACTTTATTTTAAAAAAAGGTCATAATATCTTCTTTACCTAAAATGCAATGAACAGAGTTGTAGTTTCCAAATGATTCACAATTACTATTTTTCAGAGAATAATAAAAAACAATAAGTAAAATTTATATATTTTTAAAAGCTTTATTTCTGAAAGAAATTAATCTTGTCAATAATAAAAATTGTTGTGAATGTCCAGATCAGCTAAAAAGAAATCTATCTAAAGGGATAACTTTAAAAAATGGTAAATAATCAGACTTTTACTTCTAAGTTGTGATATATATTGGAGAACTGATTGCTTATATATTGAGTATCCTGTCCAAACAAATTAAAAACAAAGTGAAATTATCATGCTTGGAAATTATCTGGGTTACACATTCACTCACTTGTATTTCAGACATAATGACTTCAGCCATTCTCTTGCTAAATCCATTGCACTCACTTTTCTGTGTACACATTCCACTTCCAGTCTTTTGCTGTGTGTGGTTTGCTGAGGTGTTTCTGGCCTTATACTACTGGTATCCACCCAACTAATTCCTAAGGCTATGTAACAGAGAGAAAGAAGGAAAGACTAAGGATACAGCATACCAACCTCGAACCCATACCACACCACTGGGTCTTGTTCCATGACTTTGAAAAATGATTTACTGTAACTGTTTTATTATTTATCCAGGCTTGAAAAAAATTACTGAGGATATTATCCTTGGGAATTAGCATCTTTAATTTTAAGAAATGTTAAGAAGTCAAAGTTTTTAATACATCAAGTCATTATATATTAGCCCTAATCTAATGAACAGCAGTGTACCCAGTGATGTGTCATGTTTTGAAGGTGTCCTTCCCTTTGATTCACATTTAAAGTTTTCAGAACTAAGGTTATAAGTATGTGACCATGGAATTAGAGAAAACTTTCTTGAGATGGGGATATAGTCCATGGTAGAGCATTTGCCTAGTATGTGCGAAGTTGGGCTCAATTACCAGGATCGACACCCAAACAAAACAAAACCACAACAACAATAACAACAACAAAGCACTTATTACAAAGTAAATATTCTCCATGTGGCACAACAATCCCTAAAATGTTGATTTAATACAAAAACTGTCCAATGTGGATAAAACATGTACATGGCACTATCAGCTGAATTTTTAAAATGTGTTCTGTTTTATAAGATTGAAACTATATGTATGTCTATAACCACAGTTTGGAGACTAGGAAAATATCAGATAAAAGACACATTTCAGCAGATATGTACTTTACTACAGTTTACTATGAAATCTTAAATTCAAGATTTTATAATATATTTTACTGAGATTGTGAGTTCAAACCCTATACCATTTTAGCAACACACCTCTTTCCTACCCACTAAGAGGTTTTACAGTCTTAACTACTAGGAGTATAGAAAAATATTTAATTAAGTATTTATGGACAACATAAATTCATATTTAATAATTTGATGGCATCAAGATTGATTTTTATATTTTTCATATATTTTTTAAAAACCCAGAGACCTATTACTCTATTTCAAATAGAGAGATCTGACAAAAACCGGTATCCTCGGTCATACTGCTCTTGAGACCTATGGGGACACTATGGAAAAAGTAGCTGTTTTTCTGCCATGAAGTAATGCTGCTAAACTGGACATGACAGCACACACCTATAATCCCAGCACTCTGAGAGGCTGAGGCAGGAGGATCATAAATTAGTGGCTTAGTTAAAAAGGGAGTGGGCACTGGGCATAGAAATCAGTGCAAATGTACTGAGTTCAATCACCAGTACTGAAAAAATAAGAGGAAGGCAGAAAGGGAGGGAGGGAGGGAGAGAGAGAGAGAGAGAGGCTTGTAATTAAACCTGGATTAACCTGAGTGCAGGAGATTAGAGAAGCCAACAAAAGGTATTGAATGTAGAAAATATTTTGCATTGTAAAGACATTAGTAATTGTAGACATCTTTTAGGCAAACTGTTTCCAAATTTCATTCAGCTTTTGTAATGATCCCCCTTTCCTGTAATCTTGGCCCACTTCGGAGTAGTATTCTTCGTTGATCTCATTCTGTTTATACTGTTAGTTCATAATGGCAACATTCTGTTGAATGCAGATTTTCTTGGAACTATTATGGCCTTGTAGGCTGTATGACTTTGAAGGACTATCATGCTTTAACAAGACAATACTTTTTATAATTTCCTACACTGTGGGATAACTCCATCCTTCAAAAATTTCTCAGGCACATACAGTAGTTTATGTTTTAATGAAGAATAAACCCAGGGACAGCCAAGTGTAAGATGAAATTTAGAAGGTCACAGAATTTCTTATGACATTAATACTTCACATTTGAATTAGTTTCCAGTTTAGCAAGACAGATAAAGAGTACTCCGCATTCTTTGAAAGAACTAAAACAACTAAAAATAATAAAACTTCTCATTCACTTCAGTCAAGACAAGTTATTTGGAGTGAAGGGCCAAAGAAATCACAGTAGCAGTAAAAGAGGAATGCTGGACTCACTTTTAAACTATAAAACTATGATTCCCTTTAGTGAACAGTGAAATAAAAAACCCTTTTAGAAAGAGTTGTTTTTAAAGAGGGAGCATCATTATCTCCATCTTCAATCACCTCTCCAGATACTGGTCTACAGCAAGCCAAATGTAACTTTGTGCTTCAAGGTCATTGCACATCTCTCTCCACGGTTCTCCTTTCCTGAGAAAAATGGGCTTAGGGTGTTATTTCTGCCTTGCTAGATTTCTACTCTTTCTTTTCTCATTAGCAGTATAAGCATCTGTTAGTTAACATTCTTTTCTATATAATGAGCTCAATAATTTCTCTTTCACTGGTTAGAATTACAATGTCTTTCCTGTGCAGAGAAGGTGCTTCCCTTGTAGGTGTTCATATTCCTTCTGCTCTTTGAAACAAGTATTAGATTGAAATGTTTTTCCAAGACCAACTCTGCAAGAGGAGACTCTCAGGAGTAGCACCGTATCCATTCACCCATCTTCCACTTTTTTCTTGGCAACAGGACACTGAAGGGTAACCCAGAAAGTTGTTTTCCTGGCTGCATTAATTTCCCATTGTCCTTGCAGCTGAGTATGGCTATGTTAATTCTGACCGGTATGAACTTGGAAATCTGATGTTTAATTTATTGAAAATATGCTAGATTGAGCACTTGGCTCAAGTCCTTCTCTTTCCTGATACTCACTAACTGGAATCTAGGGCAGTGGTGGCTGACAAGGATCATGTGGAAGAGGCCAAAACCTAGGAATGGGTCACTTAGAAAGTTTGGATAAACCTGCCTGTTTATAATGAAAAACTCAGATTCAAATATGATGTCTCTCAACTATCAAATTATCTGGATAAAATCTTATTTAATGACTCCACTACTAAGTTTTCTTTTTCAAGCAGCAAAACCAAATCCTAATACCTTCTTCAAATTGTATTTGAGAGAAAAACAGTGAACAAGCAAATATCCCAATAAATGAGGTATTATTATACATATATTCTCAATGTTTATTTTTTATAGGATTTACTCTAAGGTCTCTTTTTATAAAACTTTCTTGGAAATGCTTGAAATACATTTATACCAGAAAAAATATATGAGTCAGAGCAGTTGGTAGACCATGGAGTTATAAATAATGACACGCAAGGACAGAAATTTACTCTCTTCACCTGAACTTTAGGTTTAGTACATTTCACACAGTAACACTGAAAAATGTGATTAGTGTAGGATCATGTATTCTGGTTATTGTTGCTGTTTAGCGCAACACCCCAAATGTAATGGCTTAAAAAAACCATTTTATCATCTTCAAGGATGTTGGGGATGAAGACTTTGGACCGGCGTAAAGGGAATTTCTTGGCCTGGATCCATGGGGTCTGTGAAGCTCAGCTGAGAATAATTGAAATCTGGAGAGACTCAAGAGCTCGGCATAGACTTATCCAGAGGAACCCTCCTTACGAGTCTGCTACTGGCTTGTAAAGAAGACTAGAAGCTTGCTTCCCCTTGTGATTGGCCTCCTGAGAGAGCAGAGGCCTCAAGGGATTCAAACATCCTAGAGTGGCATAGGGCTCTGAAGACAAGTGTTTAACCAGCAAGATAGAAGCTGCATCGCCTTTTATAACTCAGAGTCAGTCCTATTGTTTCTATTTGTCAAAGCAATTCTAGGCCTACCAACAGGTAAGAGGAGGAGACATAGAGATTATCTCTTATTAGAATGAATAAAATGGATTGGAAAAAGAACATTTTAAAATAGTTGCACATTTGTATAGTGAGAGAAAATAAGTACCTCTTAAGATTTTCATGGTCAGATCTGCTGTTTTCCAATGATAAGGTAAGAAACAGAGTGGGGAATTAATGTAACTTGTATCAGTCAGAAATGGCATGCTCTTCCAGCCTAACAGCATAAAAAAAGAAAAATCAAAGATGTGAGTAACTCTGACCCAGCAAGATGATTATCCTAAAGAGAATGTGCTAGACTCTGAAATTTGGATGCCATTTTGTGAGGGACCAGCATCTAGGGAACCAGCCACTAGGTAAGGTGGGGAGCTGTTTCCTTTCACTTTTATCATTGTCTGGTTCATTTCCTTTACAGTATTTGTTGGTCTGTATTAAACCAAAACGAAAGCGTTCTTGTGTCTGAGTCTTCACTGGGGAGGTTTGACTAGAATTTTAAAAGATGGGTGTAAATAGTACAGGGCACAGTGTAGGCAGTCAGTAATCACTGGGTTCCCTTCTGTGAGATCCCTTCCATGGACTCAGTCACCCACCTGGGCTTCATTTCATTTTCTAGGGCTGTAACTTAATTTCTCTCTCTGATTCTTTCTCTGCAAAAGACATTATGACACAACTCAAGATCATCATTTTTAAAAGGTGCTACATTCTTAAAACTTAGCAAAATAACTTAAACTTTTATTTCTAAATCATCTATTATAAAAGTATTATTCCAGAATAATATGCAAATAATTATTTCAGTGAGAAAATGGGTGTCATGACCTAGCCCCAGAGGGTTTCAAACTTGAAAGAACAATCTTAAATATTTTATAGTAGTTTTAATAAGAAAGTAGTCATTTATATCCACAACTATATAATTAATTGTAAAATACAATTATATCTGAGATAGAAAGGTGGTTGTTCATAACTAGCTGGCACCCTGAAGCGCTGGGCTTACTTCTCTACTCACATAAAGCAAGCATTAACAGAGCTGCTCTGCACATATTTTCATCACCTTAATGACATAATTTGGAGTGACAAAGCTGATTCTATGCAGGCTAGCTCTCTCTGTTGCTGATTTCATTCCCTAGTCCAGAGCAGTTGTAAATGACAGTGGATGGGAAAATAGAAATAGTATCCTAAAATGTGGGTTTCATTCTATACTTGCCTTCTGAAAGCTCATACTTTGGGAGGCATAGGTTTTAGACTATCTAGGTATCAGAAAATTTGGGCTGCCACAAAAAAAACCACACCTAAGAATGGTTTTAAAAATAACACTTATTTCAGGGGCTGGGGATTTAGCTCAGTGCTTCTACCACCTGCTTAGCAAGCGCAAGGTCCCAAGTTCGATCCCTGGTACCAAATAAAATAAAATAAAATAA